CAAAATAAACTAAACTGAATGAATAAACATAACAAACAACAGAACAAAGCTACAACATTACAGCCACAGATGATTTAAAAGTTATTGCTTTTAGGTGTTGCAGTCTCTCCTTGTCATGAATTCTGGATCCCTGGTTGTCACAGACTTATTGTTTTTTTGTTTTTTTTTTGCTTCGTTTGAAACGCAGATCAAAGTATTTTAGATATGACATTGTTTTGCTTCTCTTGATCCTGTGTAGATTTGCTTTGTTTTGTTTTTTTTTCTCCCCTCAATGGCCCAGTTTCATACAGCATTTCATTTTGCATCCCGCATCATGGGAGGAAGAGATTGTTCCTTAAGACTTATTGTGGTTTCCGCCAGTTTTGTACATGTGGGAGCAGCAGCAGGCTTTTGTAGACTTTATCTCCACACTTCCATTCTCTGTTTTTAGGTAGCGAGTGTTGTTCATGGATGCCGATGCCGCTCTTATTGTGAAATGTCTTCTTTGTTTTTCATTTACTCTAACATTAACTGACTCTAATGCGCCGTAAAACAGAATTTATTTGCTTTTTTTGTATTTCAGTTTGGAAGTTACATGAAAGTAAAGTGAATGTTGTGGTTGTGACACGGTATTCCTAACTCAAATGTGCGGCTTCATGTCCCATTAACACAGGTGGGTATATATGAAGATATATTGTCCGAAGACTGAGATAAAGTTGAACTCTCTCTAAAAAAAAAAAAAGGAATTTGGATTGCACGACTATTCATATTTGCTAGTTTTACAAAATAGTACCCGAACTGTTGATAATCATCTTTACTGATTGTAATTTGTCATCTATTTTAGTCTGTGGAGAAGCCAACATTGTTACAAATATCTACCCCAGAAACCATGTCTGGGTTTTCCATTTAGAAAAAAAAAATCAGGTGGGCGCCATTTATATAATGATTATTTTGATACGGCCAATCATATCTTGCATAAATCAGTAACTCAGTGAATAGAGTAGGCGGTTGCACTGAACCGCACGGCAGCTGCTACACAACACCGACTCTGAACTCGGTGAACACGTCCCGTCCTGCCCTCTGACTTGTCACAAATATTCAGACGAAAACAGCTAACTTCGTCTAGCAGGTACCTAATTAGCCACAACACATTTAACAGCTGCAAATGTCACTCGGGTCGATCACATGCTGCTGCGTTCCTCACTTTCAAACACCAACAACACCAACACCAACAACAACAACGCGCTGTGTGCACATGACATGCAACTACAGCGCAAAGTTTGCTTGCGTTCATTGCCTACTGTTTCACACCGACGCTGTGGCTGCCTGCTAGCTGCTGTCAGCCAGACACAGGTGGGGACATGCCCCTGCAGCTGAGAGACAAGAGAGCACATTGCCCCAAAGTACGGAAGCCGAGAGCGGTCGCTTTCTGCTACTGTTCTTTCTTCGCCGTTTTCTCGAAATAACGAGTTAATTTTCTCGTTATCTCGGGATAACAAGAATCGTTTTCTCATGAAAACGAGATAATTTATCTCGAGAAAACCAACTTTGTTTTCTCGGGATAACGAGATAATTGGTGTTTGTGTTTGCCTTCTCGTGCCCGGTCCAGGATGGAATCCCAGGTGTGTGGGACCTCCCACACACCTGGGATTCCATCCTCAGTCACCAGTGGGGGGCCGGAGGACAGACGAGACCGGGCACGAGCGCTTCATTGTAAGTTGTCGTGCCCGTCAGCTGTTCTCATGACACGTCATGTCGGAGTTCCCGGTCAGCTGTCTATATAAGATACGTCACACCAGGAAGTCCGACAACTTCTGATGAAGGCTCAAGTGACAGCCGAAACTGTCAACGGGATAATTATCTCGTTATCTCGAGAAAATGGCGTTTAAAAAAATGTGTGGCCATGACCGCTCTCAGCTTCCGTACCAAAGACTATTTTCCTTTTTTTTTTTTAATTGATAAAACATATTATTTTTAATGACCCCTGTGATGGACTGGTGACCTGTCCAGGGTGTCCCCTGCCTTCGCTCTAAGTCGGTTGGGATAGGCTCCAGCCCCCCGCGACCCTAGTGAGGATTAAGCGGTGTATAGATAGTGGATGGATTTTTAATGACAAAACAAATGATTAAGTGTGATTTCAGGTGGTACAAATTACTAGTCCTAAGAGCCCTGCGTACAACTTCTGGTCTTCATCTATTCAACTTCTATATGTGGATCCTTTCTTTTCTCATCTCATCTAATGTGCAGTCAGTTACCATGTCAACAGGTTAACACAATGAGAAAATATGGACAATAAAGTGAGAGAAAAACCACAACTATCATAACCTGTCCTGTCCCTGAGGATTACACCGAAGGGATCAATAAAGTTCTATTCTATTCTATTCTATTCTATTCTATTCTATGTTAGAGGCAATTAAAGTACAGTTCGTCCATCCTCAACTCTCTCCTCACAAGGAGAGAAGAGTCGAGGCAACAGGCATTTAACAAAATGAGACGTTTTTTTCTTTGACGCTGTCATTTCTAATCGCCTTCAATTAAATATGTGCGGCACAGCGACGTGCAGAATTTGACAGAATGATTGAAGGTCATATATTTTTTTGTTTTTCTTTTTTCCCCCCCGCCCCGCTCACACACCCACAAACACACACACACCCCATGAAAACATCTCGTATGCCAAAAAGGCATCCTCATTGTAGACTGTGTATATAAGACAGATGTGACCTTCAGGTCTAGAAAGTGACAACAGAAAGTATGCAGGTTTAAGGCACATTTGCAGCCAGCAGCTTTTTAAATAAAGCATCATTTGGTAAATTATAGCACCAGTCTGAAGAAAATAGATCATTATGTAGGGTATGCTTTAAGGCAAGGCTGCGTTGTGATTGGCAGATCATTACCTTATCACCATGCACAGTGTCCTCTGTTTCTCTAGTCACGGCCACCATTTGTTTGCTATGTGCTGTTTCCAAAGACAGGGAACAGACAAATTCTTAAAACCTTAAGCTTCAAAGGGATAATTCACAAAACAATGGCTGACATCACGGTCACCACGTCCATCTTTTATATATACAGTCTATGATCCTCACTCATGGCTCACTTGGCAACGCATCCCGTCTCCTTGAGATGCATTTTCGGTATTGAGACATCCTTCAAGACGGTACACCGAGGTTGTTTTCCAGGTCACAGGCAGGAGGATGGAAGAGAGATGAGATGAGGCGGCACAACATAGAGGAATTAGAAAAGGATGCCAACTTTCTTCCACAAGGAGAATCAATTATATGTAACTGCGCACACTCAAGACAGTTGTTGTAGGTCATATCTACACTTCTGTTCCGGGTAGTACGCTCCTGGATCCCTGCGGTTTTTGCATAAATTGTATTAAAACCTCTGCTTCGTATTGCCCATTGCCCAACCACAAACTCCTCACAGTGAGTCCACTTACCTCAGGAGTATAGCGTTCCATGAAGTCAACAAAACATCATTTGCCGCAACAACATAACCGGAAAAACAGCTCAGTAATGAATTTTCTATAAAACAAGTTTGAAAATACATGACATGTCCTTAGCCCGGTGCACTTTAAACTACTGAGAACAAAAACACGCAGAAACTCCCGAGATGTGACAATGTAAAAGCCTTGAGCTTTGTTCTCGTGCTGGCAGAAGAGTGTCTTCAAGCACATCACTGCTCATAGTAAGAAAAGGTTGATTGAAAAAGAACATTCTTTGAGCATTGTTCTGCTCACTGCAGCCAATAATTTGTGCATGAAGGAAACCAGGTGACAATATAATCATGAATAAGGAGGCAGTATTGTGTTTCTGGGAATTGTTGAGAATGGATGTATAATAGAAGTATTGTACGTACTGTCAATGCAAGCAGCGATGTTTTAAACGTTCAAGGGCAACCAGCTATTGACAACTGTGTATGTTTTACTACCAATTACTGCTGCCAATGATTAACTTACCCAACAAATTGATTGACTGAAGTTATTTTGTCTTTTAGTTGGCTCATTAGTGGAGTCTTTTAGACATGCAGGAGTCAAAATGTTGAGGACCTCCCTGACCTTTTCTTCTCAGGGCATGGTTGCAGATCTATGATTACGTCATTTTTACTCCACTTTTGATGTTATCATTAGTTTTATGACACTTTCCAGTCGTTGCTCCTGGTGGCCTGAATCTGTCACTGTTCTTATCTGAATCATCACCGCTCCGTCTTCTGCTTTCCTCGTTGTTTCTTTAGATTTTATGTTTTTTAAAGCAAAGGTCGCACATTTGTCTCTACATTAAAAAGATTTCAGTCATTAAAAAAAAAAAAGTTCACATGTGGTACAAAATGCTCACTTTCTGTAAATAAGGGCTGAAAATAACAATCATAATTTATTCTCGATGAAATGCCAGAACACGATGAAAAACATTCATCACACTCTCATAGAGTTCCTTCCATAGCTTGGGGGACCAACAGTCTAAAATCCCATGATGTTTAGTCGATAATGATTCTTAAACTTTTACTGTTTTGGTAGAAAACAAGCTAAATATCACCTTTGCAAAGCTGGAGGCAGAAAATGTTAAGCCTCTTTTCTTGATCATTTACTAAGTCTGTCAACTAGCTGATACGTTATTACTGTCTTGCTTTCTTAATTAATCATTTGGCTGTAATGTGTCTTCTCAGAAGTGCTGCTAACGGATTAAAGCTGACCACAGCAGACAACTTACTGTAATTTACTGGTCTAATAAAGTCTAGAATCACTGTATCTGTCTGCATGTCTCTTAAATGGAAGCTAAAAATCATTCTGAAATCACCTTTCAACATCTCCCTCCTAACCGCTTTGCCTTCAGGAGTGATCAGGACAGCTCTGGCCAACATGGACCGCGAGGTGAAAGAAGAATACCAGGTTCTTCTGCAGGCCAAGGACATGGGGGGTCAGCTGGGAGGTCTGGCCTCCACTACCACCATCAACATCACCCTGAGCGACGTCAACGACAACCCGCCACGCTTTGCTAAGAGTAAGAAAGTCCTGATGAGCTGATTACTGGGATGGATGATCGGTTTGTTTGTTCAAAGATGGATGAATGAAATTGATGCTTTCTTTCGGGTAACTCTCACCTCTGCCACCCTCTCAGGTATTTTCCATCTTCGGGTACCGGAGTCAGCGGCAGTGGGTTCAGCTGTGGGTCGGATTCTAGCTCACGATCTGGATGCTGGCAGCAATGCATGGGTGGATTACACCATCGTTCCAGGAGACGAGGGCAACATGTTTGACATCGTCTCTAATGGCCAAAGTCAAGAGGGAGTCGTAGTCCTGAAAAAGGTACATTCGCCCCCATTCTGTTGCAATGCAAAAGTTTCTTGTCTTTAAAAAGAAAAAATGTCTGCATGTGTTTGACCAGCATGGGGGATCAGGTGTGTAATTACCTTTAGTATAATGTGTCAATTAGGCATAATGTACATTTCCACTGCACTGGCTCCACTGTTACAGCAAAGTTATGTCATACTAACTGCTCTGTTGCTAAGTTTCTCTTTTCTAACAGAAATTATGCCTTTCCTCACTATTTAAAAGCTGGTAATAAAAAGGAAGGATTATGCTTTTGTAAGGCGTAATCCTTTAGAATTAAATCTTGATTTGTGGGTAATGTTGTTAACAGAAAATATGTTTTTTTTTTTTTTTAAAGTTCCAGAGTTGTGGGGTCGACGAAAGTCTGCCAGAAATGCCACGGAATAAGTTGATCGGTTGTTGTTGTTGTTGTTGCTGTCTGTCAAGCACAGCAGTTCACTGTGACTTTTCTTTCTTGTTCTTGTTCCACCGCTCTGTGTAGCTGACATATAATCATTAACGTTAGTCAGTGAAAAACACATTGAGTTTCCTGTGACTGCTTCACAATAGAATCTATTGCTTGGCTTTCAGTGCAAGCAGTGGTACCATGTTGGCATTCCTTAAAACTGAATGCAGCTGTGATGAGGTTGTGTGCGGGCCATCAAGTGGCCGTGAGGCTGATTTCATAACATTATCATAACATAATTATAATATTACAATATATTATAATAAGATATAATTATATTATAATATAATTCTAATTGAATTTCCCTTGGGGGGAAATTGGGGGCTGCAGGGTGGCGCAGTTGGTAGCACTGTTGCCTCGCAGCAAGAAGGTCGCCGGTTTGCGTCCCGGTGGGGGCACCGGAATCTTTGTACGTGGAGTTTGCATGTTCTCCCCGTGCAGTGTGGGTTCTCTCCGGGTTCTCCGGCTTCCTCCCACACAGTCCAAAAACATGTTGAGGTTAATTCTGATTCTAAATTGTCCGTAGGTGTGAATGTGAGTGTGCTTGGTTGTCTGTCTCTAAGTGTAGCCCTGTGATAGACTGGTGACCTGTCCAGGGTGTCTCCTGCCTTCACCCTGAGTCGGCTGGGATAGTGAAGATTAAGCGGTGTATAGATAATGGATGGATGGATGGATGGATGAATTTTCCTTCTGGGATAAATAAAGTATTTTTCATTTCATTTCATAAAATTAATCCATTTTGGTTAATTGGAGGATATTGCTACCCCATGGTTAGGTAGTTTCAGTTCTATGCAGGAGATGTGGACTTCATCAGATACAATAAACATTCCTTCAGGCGAAGGTGATCTGGGAAGCTGGGTTTAAAGTACCAGAGATTTGAATGTGAAACATGAGTGCAACATTTTGCTTTATTGACAGTAGTTTTGAGTTTTCTTTGAGCATCTTGAATCCCTTTGAAGATTCGCAGCCTTATTGTGGTGGAGGGTTTTTGTGCATCCCTGTGAACCTGGGGAGTGTGCTGTTTGATGCAATAGTTCCACTGGTAAGGTCCAAATGCACATCTGTCCCAAGGGAATAACCAGGCCAAGAGTGATTCACAGACTCTCTATAAATCAACTGGGGCAGAGCTACAGCACCTGGAACAGCAGCTCATCTAAAAGCTTCTTTCAAATAAAGACCTAGTTCTCTGTGCAGCTCCAATAAGTAGTGAAGTGTTTTAGAATGAAGACAGCACATCATGGATATTACCTCAAACACTAGTAAATGCATGCCTAAAGAGGCGTTTATATGTTATAAAATACCCTCAGATCCATAGTGTAAGGGACAATTTTCAATCAGTAACGGCAAATTACTGAAAAAAGCAATACAATCCTTTTGATTCCCCAAATCAAACACTGCATCTGGCGGCGCTGTGCTATTGGTTAAAACCAAAGGCACACTTTGCTAACATCAGCAGTTCACTGGTGAAGTGCTGTTAGTGATCTAAGTGTGGGAGGAATGCGCTGCTCAGGCCGTGATCCTCATCATTCTGCCTCTTAACCTTCCATTGAACCAAGCTATTAGACTAGATAATGCATTACACACTCGCAAACACACACTCCAACACGCACGATACAGTCTTCATTTTGCTGTGTCAGCCGCTGGATTCCCCCGCTCACAGAAGATCTATGGTATATAATGAGAGGATGGGGAGTGAAAAGAAGGTGTAGAGGGAAGTAGAAGGAACAAAGGAAGAGAAAGGCAAACTTCAACACAGAGAAGCCTGCAAGTTTGAACCCAGGATTATTTCCATTAGAGAAAGCGTATAAATATGCAACTTAGTTAGACAGAGATGAGTTTTTAGGGGTTAAATCGACAATCGGAGTGGGACTTCAGAGAGATTTCATAGCAAAGCTCCTCCGAAAGAAGCCATGTAAGGACTTGAGTAAACTTAAACTCTGTTAAACGCTCCGTCTGCAGGGATACCACCTCGTATCACACTCGCGCGCACACACCACGGAGATACGCACACCGCAACACACAGCGCATATGTCACATCAAATCAAGCAGTTCGGTATCAGAGGACCGCGGAGGCTTTTATTTCAGACTGTCCTCTAAATCAGAACAGACACGACAGCTACTTTCTGAGCACGAAACTTTGCCAGCCACGTCTCTTATTTTAGAAATGAGATAAGCCATAAATCCGTGGCTCTCGGTGCTGACATTTCGTCCCTGCTCACTGTTTCAAAACAAAGAGGCAGTTGTGGGGGCATTAAAAATAAGTCGGCACATCAATCCCAAAACATTTGGACGAATTATTCTTCAGAACTTTTCGCATACAGTGTCTTGCACGTTCATTCAAAGGTGCGAGAAACAGCAAGGGTACAACAGTAGACTGACAATATTATGAAAATACTGTTGAATCTATAAAGTTTGTGTACTTGATGCGTGCAATATTTGAAATTAAAGTAGACATACATATTGATCTTAAATTGTTCAATAACAACTGAATGAAATGTAAATCATGATATGTCTAATTGGTGACCGTTCTGACTATAAGTTTGAGTGTTGCTGTTATTTGTGTGATCTTGGGATTTGAAGCAGAGGGAACTGATCCAGCTCCAGAAAATCAATCCATTTCAAATGGCAACGGACAAAACAAACTACAGAGGAGATAGCTGATGCATTTACCCCCCAGAGCACTTTATTATAGAGAAGCAAAATGACCACGTTCAACCACGTTACAGACTGAGGACATGAAGCTTTTTAATGTGCTCTGAGCTCCTGAAGAAGTTCCTTCATTGCAGCAAAAGAAACCGTTGACAGAATCCGTGAGAGGTGCTCTGGTTGACATGCTAAGCTAGTGATGTACAGGTAGAAACGTTGCTTTGAGATTTTAAGCATGAGTCTTTGAGTGGAAGAGTCCTCTCTAAATGTTCATACCTCATTTAAGTTACCCAGATATGCACAGAACAGGCTTGTAGGCGTTTCTAATTCTGTCCCTGATCTTTTTGTTGAACTCACATCATTTTACTATTTAAACCAAATGTCCCCCAAATCTAGCCACCCTGCTGTAGGAGCACAATTGCACAGTTTTGCAAGTATTATTCCAGTCTCAGCAACACAGAATGGCCCAATGCTTTCCAGACACGCTTGCTTTCCAAAATGAGTCTTAGACAACCCAAGATTTAATTTAGTCGCGCTTCATGCAAATCACTGGCCTGACATTATATATGAAACTCGTGTAAAAGTGTATTTACTGCTGTACAGTATACAGCTGAGGACAAATACACCCCTGTGCATCATCACTGCAATCATTCAAAATGTATAATAATTTACATTAAAAATTAACAGCTTAGATGTACTGGAACACTTTTATGACTTATTTATTTATTTATTGTTCTTTTCCTCATATGTCCACCTTTATTTCTGGTGGCAGACTCAATCCTCCACTGCATTAAGGATACCAGTGTAGCACAAGTGTCTGGAGGAATGTTCTGCCATTCTTCAGAGGGAGTTTTTACAGCTGTTGTTTGCTGGAGAGGTCGTGTTGCTCTACCTTTTCCCTTTCAAACACCCCAAAGGAGTTTAACTGGATTCAACTCAGAAAAACTTTCTTAGCCAGGTGATATTTTTCACTTCTTCCTTCTTTAGAAACTAACTTTGGCAGCATGCTTTGGTCATTATCATACTGGAATAATTCTCTTCTGCCAACCTTCTACAGACTGGTAGTCATCTTACCAGCCTGTATTTAGCTAGTTGGTCCGTCATTCATGGCACTATCTATAAATGTCATCTTTTGCACTCATGCAGGCCCGTATCGTCACACTTTGACCTCTGGGCTTTACTGCCAGGACTATACATTCACTGTAGTAATCATATCCAGGTTCACACCAAACATGCTGGACTCCATCTAAGCTGAACAAATTTTGTCTTATGTTACCAAAACGTTTGCTCATTAGTGGTAGTATGGTTTGCTCTAAACTTCTTAATACTGCTGTAACTTAAGATGAGTTTTAGTTGGTCATCTATCTTCTTGTACCTTTTTCCATCTCTGTGAGGTGCCACTGT